TGTTTTCCGTTCTGTCTATATGCGATGTAAGTGAATTTTAGAGGGGTTTCCAGAGGGCGGAAGATGCACGCAATAGTCGAGGAAGGAGAGATCCTTTGATGGATGCACCGATTCTGCTGGATTATGGCTCAGGAAGCACCAATTACTGTTCACCGATTGCCAATCAGAGGATTCCTATTTTATCGCGGGCATTGTAAATGCTTACACGAATAAACTTACTTATTTGGCATTTATGGAAATAATATAACTAGTAATTTGGTAGGATTATGATTTTAAAAACCACTTAACAAGCTCGTACATACTTAAAAAATAGAATGAATAAATTTCACTCAATACGCTCTTTTATGATTTGTACTTTTGTAATATACTGTTATTTAAGCGGTATTTTTTAAATGCATAATTTAAGTAACATTCGTGTTTTATAATTATTATATATAGAGATTTTAATCTGGCATGACCATGAGTTGGCTAAAACATCTCTTTATAAAGAGTTTGTAAACTACTTTTTTGTGATATTTTAATGGCTACAATAAGTAAATTCAATTCTTGTTTTCAAAAAATGTATTCAAATTGCATATTATTTTAATTACAATAAATTAAAAAAAGTTTTATTTGCAATGTTTTGATGCTAATAACATAATGAAATTACAATTAAAGAATTACTTAAGTAAATTTATATGATAATTGGTGACGCAGACAGATGCCAATTTCAAGACAAAAAAAAGTTAGCAATTTCTCAGCCAATATTATTTTAGTCACAACATTTATTTTTGAAAAGTTTAGGCATTGTTTAATTGTTTTATATATAAAAAAGTACTATTTACAAGTTTTTTGACCTTCTAAACTAGGCTTTAAATTATTTTATCTTACCAACAGACTTAAGGTTAGACTCAAGAGGTTGTAATATACTTACAGTAGTAATATTTTTATATACACGTAGCTGATACAAAAAACCATGTAATAAATAATAATAAATACATAACGTAACCCTTTCCTGATCCCCTTGTTAAGATTAAAGTGCATTTTATATATTTAGTTTGATTTAAGTTTACCCTTAGGACACGAAAACGACGTTCTACGTTTTCTAATATTTTTTAGATCAATTAAAAAAGGCAATTACAAACTCAGAACCGTGACTACTAATTTCCCAAATCAATACAATTTCCAAAGTCATGCTTTCACTATAAACCATCTATTTCCCCAGTTACGGTTCTATTTTGCCGCTTATGCCATTCACGAAACCCACTAATTTGCGTGTGTTCGGAGCCTTTTCATGCCCAGTTCCTGTTACCAGCTAACGGCAATTAATGATATGGCCACAGAGTCACAGCCACATCAAATGACAAGCTCTGGGAAATGCACTACAACTACAACTGACGGAGAGAGAGACATAGAGACATAGGGGCGGTGTGGTGGGGGACCTGGCCAAATACCCAACCCAGAGCCAACCCCTCCCCCAGGCATCCCACTCGACAGCCAACCAGTGCATGAAAACGCATTTTCCCCAACGAAAAGTCAAAAAGTGCGTAGCGCAGCCCACCCACCAATACCCACGCGCAGTCACACACACACAGACAGAGATGTGGAAGAGGGAATGCGATTGGTGGAAAACCAAAAGGAGCAGAAAAAACTCTAACACATAAACTGGAAGGTAGGGGTGGCCCAGAGGGAGGGGAGGGGCGGGAGCGACCGCAACAATACAAAAGTCAAATTAGTGGAAAATGCAAATGCATGGCAAAAAAGTGTTCCACAACAAAAAACGCACACAAAAATACGTGCAAAAAATGTGTGACACTAGAAAATATAGACATTGGATCGCTATGTACCAGGGCAGGGAAATTAGAGTGGTTCGGGGTGGCATCAAAAGTGTTGCGGATGAAAAAAGGAACAGTTTGTTTCCATATTATAATTACACAGCTCGGAGCGTCCTGTGACAAAACTGCTGCATGCTCCTAGGCGCTTTTTTCTGTACATGTTTCGGTGGGTATTTTTGCATAAAGTCAATTTTTGATAGACAGATGGCTTGATTTTCATCGACATTTAGCTCCACCTTGTCAGCCATTACGGTTTAGCTGTTTTTGCCGATTTCCCTAATTGATTTTTAGCGCAAATTTAATTCCTGCCGACTGCTTTTCCGTTGCGTATTTGGCATTTAACATTTTTTCATTACTAAAAGTTTCCGTCTGTACTTTTATGGCAAACATACTACAGCTATGCAAATTTGTATAAGCGTAAACATAATTAAATATCAACAAAGGTTATTTTTCAGCTCTGCAGATATGCAGGTATTCGTAAGATAGTTATGTGTTTTATAACATAATATAAATCAGCAAATTAAACAAAGTGTTTGGATAAGTAAATCCACAACCACTCTGCTTTAATTTTACGTTGCTACATTTTTATACCCGTTACTCGTAGAGTAAAAGGGTATACTAGTTATTATGCTAAATGCCATACGTTATATATTTAACACTTCTTTAAAAAGTAGGCCTTTTTGATAACAATTGTTCCTGCTTCTGGTTTATCATATCACGTACCGGGAAGAAGTAAATTCACTTTTAATCTGTTTGTACAGATCTTCGAGCGTTGACGCTTTCTGTTTTTTTGCGTTTATTTGCCCTTTAATTAGAGCTCATTATTCAAAAAATGTTTATTTACCAACGACTTTAGCTTATCACCAGGCGCGCAGCTGTTGGATAACCCTAGCCGAAACTCATAAGATCACAACAAGAATACCCCTAGTGTGACCCAGCAAATGGATCTTATCAGCCAAACGGAAAATGCAAAGGCACTGTTAGCCAAGTTCAAAGCCGATATGTTATGCAGTTGACAAGGTCGTGCGAGTGTTACATTTATTTATTTGCACAACTGCAGACTGGGGGCGAAATCGCTTTCAAACAGGGCGTATACCTTACCGCAAGCTCCAACTGTTTTATCGTCTGCTGGAACGCGGCCTATTATTTATTTAATTAGCTCTAGCTTTAGGCGTCTTTGCTGATATTAGGTGTGGGTGGCATTATCGGGCTAGCCCAGTTGAGTGCTGGCTTCGTAGTAGAAAGGTATGGCCAAAATGCTTAGCCGCTCCCTAATCTCGTTGGTGCTGCTGGCACCTGCCGTTTTGGCCTACTTCGAGGGCTGTGATAACACCTACACCCTGAGTCCGGGAACCACCTACCTTGAGTCGCCCTACTATCCCAGCAACTATCCCGGCGGAACGTCCTGTCGGTACAAGTTTACCGCTCCCTTGGATTATTACATCCAAGTGCAATGCACTGTTGCACTGCCATCGGTGGGGAATAGCCAGGATATATTGGTTTTATAATAGAAAATACCTAAGTGACTTGTATCCCCCCAGAGCAATGGCCAGTGTACCACGGATAACTTTTGGCTGGACCCGGAAGGCGATCTTCAGATGCGTGGCGCTGAAAACTTCTGTGGTTCTGGAACCTTTTCGCGGGACTCTCTCTTCAGGGAAGTGGTCTTCGCCTACATTTCCACCGGCACCCAGGGGGGAAACTTCAAGTGCACCTTGACCACCACCAAACAGAACTGCAACTGCGGCTGGTCGGCCACTGCGCGCATTGCCAATGGCCAGAATGCCGCGGCCAACGAATATCCCAGCTATGCGGCCCTCAAGGATGTCACCTCGAAAACCGCATCCTTCTGCGGGGGAACCATAGGTGAGTTCAGGTCAACTGAATATATTTATTTAGTTAGGCTGATCATCCTAATCCTGATCAGCCTGAATATTTTGTATTTTTAATAGACAGTAACCGTATTTGATTTTACAGTATCCCATCGTTATATAGTGACTGCTGCCCACTGTATATATATGGTCAACAGGGCTACAGATGTGGTCGCTATTGTAGGAACCAACAATTTGGTAAATCGTAAGTTGACTAAAATAATTGTATTTACCTAGGATTTGCTTGTGTGTTCAGCACAATGTTTTCCCTAGAATTTAAAACCCTAAAGCAAGCATTTTAATACATTAACTACAATGTCGTAGAATTTATTATACATTAATTGAACTCCATATTATTTATATCAGCTTCCAGGTATTACCAACAATATAGTATAATACAGATGATACCCCACGAGCAATACGTAAGCGATCCGAACGTAAACAATGATATAGCGGTTTTGATAACAGCAGGTAATATTCAATGGTCCCGTGGCGTAGGTCCCATCTGTCTGCCCCCTGTGGGAACGTAAGTTTTGATTTCATTATCAAAGTTATCATTTAATAAAAGCTAATTTCTCGCTTAGCACCTCACCATTTACCTACGATGTCGTCGATGTGATCGGTTTTGGAACTATCTACTTTGCTGGACCCACATCCTCAACTCTGCAAAAGATCAACCTGAATGTGGTCTCAAACCAGGACTGCCAGACAGAATACAATAATGTGGCCACAATATATGCCGGGGAAATGTGCACATTTGATTATTCTGGCACAGGTCGGGACTCCTGTCAGTTCGATTCCGGTGGTCCAGTTATCCTGCGGAAATCCAAGCAGTTTTTGGTCGGAATAATCAGTTTTGGAAAGAGCTGTGCGGCAACGAGTTATCCGATGGGTGTAAATACCAGAGTAACATCGTACATAAGCTGGATACGCCAAAAGATTGGAAATTCAAACTGTGTGGTCAGCTTGTAATGGAAATAAAATGAATGGGCAACTACTGAATTGTTTGGAATAGGGATGCTTTCTATTAATAATAGTTACATAAATACTAATAAAAAATATTACATAAAATAATAGATAAAATTGAAGTTAACTTTTATATATTTTTTTAATATTAAATTATATTTTTATATTTTAAGTACTTTCCATCAGCTAGATTTATGGCCTTAAATCTAACTGCATATTTTTCTGAGTGCATTTAAAACCAAGTCAATAGTTGCATTTCCTCACCTTGACCTAAAAAAGCAGTTTGGCTTTTGCAAATATTTATATTTTCTTAATTTTCAGAAAATGATTTTCCTTATCAACTTGAGGGGTCTTATATAAGTTGCGCCGAGACTTCTCTGCCATAACAACTGCTCTAGCTACGTTTCCATCATGTACGAACTAAAGTTTTCGCGTTTTCTTGTGCTTATATTAATCAGTGTGGCTTGTGCCCAACAACAGTGCACCAGGTTCTATGACTTGCAGCCAAATCGAATGATAAATATCACCAGCTTCAATTATCCGGGAGCTCTACCAAGTGGTAGTAACTGCCGATTTCGCTTGAAAGCCCCCAGCAATCATGTGATCTATTTGAGTTGTCGCTTTGAGTTGGTAAGCAACTGTGAAATACATTTTTTTGAGTACGTTAATTTAAATCGAGTGCTAAACGCCAGAAATATTAAAAACATATCTATTTTAGTATCAGTAAACAAAATCCCAAATGTTTTTGAAAACCTTTTCCTGGTTAGTTCCCAGACACCTGTGGCTCGGAGTTCCTGTTCATCTCCCGGGATGGTGACCTCCAGTTTCGGGATGGCGAACGCTACTGCCGAATGGGTCAGGTCAACCGGATATCGAACTTCCAGACCATGGCCTTCGCCTACTATTCGAGCACTCCGCAGACCCAGCAGCGATCCCGACTTAACTGCCAAGCGGTGGCCCGTCCGGCGCCCTGCGACTGCGGCTGGTCCTTCCCGACCCGCATTGCCAACGGAGTGGAGGCGGGAAAGCACGAGTTTCCCTCGATGGTGGGCCTCCGCGACTTGGCCTCCAACCTGCCCATCTTCTGCGGCGGGAGTATCGTCAGCGATCGGTTCATCATGACCGCTGCCCACTGTACCGCTCGCCAGCCAGTGGCTAGCCGCCTTTTGGCACTTGTCGGGGAGCATGATCTAAGCACGGGTAAGTGATTTTACCCTAATTTGTTATTTTATTAAAATAAAACGGTACACATTTTAATATTATGAAATTAAAAAAAAAATCTACTATTAAAATGGATACTCATCCCTATTATTATGTGTTATTAACTAATTCATTTATAATTTATTTAAATGTATTGTTCAAAACCTGAAGAGTTGATACTCGTATTGTTCCGATCAATTTTTATAAATATTTTTTTTTAAAAAACATTTATTTTTCATCAGTCATGGACTACAATTTTTAAAGATTTTGTTAACATATTAACGTTATAAGACAAACCATAGTCACTTAAGATTTTGCCAGTAAATAACAATGCCTTCTTAAATGGTTTCCAATAAAATTTCGCTTAAAATGTATTGTTAAATTGATTAACATACAGCGCAAGTATCATTGTTGTTATTTTTCTGGTTTTTCTTATTTAAAATAATTTAAATTATTTTTTCTTTAAATTTTAGAAGACGTATTTCTTCTACTCTTGAACAGAAAATTAAAACTTATTTATTAACTAAACTTATTTGATCAACAAATATTTTATAAATTTGATATAGGTAGCGAATCGATCTACTCGGCGCAACATCGCATTCAAAATATCTATAATCATCCCGGCTACATGGAAACAGCGTCTGGCAACATTAATGACATAGCCCTCCTCCAGACGGTGACGCCCATGGAATGGTCCAGGGGAGTGGCGCCCATTTGTCTTCCAATTCGACAGGCGTAAGTGATTAATACTACAAGATGTTTAAATATTAACTTTAGTATTCCGGCAGAGAGAGTAGCTTCAACTATCAAAATGTAGACATCACGGGGTGGGGAACCCTGGGCTTCGCTGCCTCCAAGTCGAACACCCTGCAGAAGACCACCCTGCTTACCATGGATAATGCCGTGTGCCGAGCTCGGTTTAACTCCAGCATCACTCCCAGCCAGCTCTGCACCTACGATGCTGGCGGCAGGGGCCAGGACTCGTGTCAGTACGATTCCGGTGGTCCAGTGATCCTGCGTCAGCGGGAGCGGATGTTCCAGCTGGGCGTGATCAGCTTTGGCCGGGCCTGCGGTCAGCCCTTCGGCATTGGGGTCAACACCAGGGTCACATCGCACCTCAACTGGATGTGGCGTTATGTGGGCGGGGCGGTGTGTGTGCGTTAAAGATACGCACCTGACGGATGACCATATTTACACACTGAGCGAGTAGCGATCCCAGTAATGTGCCATCAACTCTGTGTCTGTTTTATATTACATTAATAAATTATCATTACACACTTTATATATTTTCTTAGTCTTTTAATGGTTTTGGAATATAAACCTATAAATATTGAACATATAAATATTGGAATACACAAATATGTATTTTTTATAATTAAGTTGAAAGCTATAAAAAATATTTGTATACACGATATATTGCTCGGGTTTTTCCCCGTGCACACGCATACTCAAACAACATACATACTTCTACAGAGTCATTCCTTAGGCGACCTCCTTGCACTTGCCTCAGGCATTTGTCGTCGTTGTCTTGAGTTTGGCAAAGTGTTGACAAAGGCCTTAATTTGCATTTAAATTAAAAAGCAGTGACATGTTTCTGCCTACATTTAAACAACGAACAAGCTCGAGCACCCCGCTCTAACCAATCATACCCCGCTGGCCATCATAGACCGCCAGGCATAGTTCTTTGTACGCAATAAAGTTTTATCAAATACACTAACTGGATATGGCAATAACTATAAGATCGTGCACCCAAAAAAGAACAGAAAGTTAAGATTTAATACCGGTTGTACTAAAAGTTTGCCAGAGACAGTATTGAAGTCAAAGAGTCAGTATTAAGGAGTCTAGAATTTGGATTTGTGGAATTAGTTTAACACCAAATCGATACTCAATAGTGTAGAGCTAATGTAACAATAGTTGATTTTCTATAATTATTTTTCCGGTGTCATCATCAAATTGTTTTTTAACTTTTAATATTAATGATGAGAAGAGTGGTACTTAAAAAAAACAATTTATAAAAATATTATAGTTTAGTAATAAATCGTGGAAACCAATGTTTTTCACGAGATCAGAAAAAATATTTTATTTTAAAGTTTCAAAAATAAGAGTACAAGTCCGCCCTAAAGATAGATTATATTTCTTGTGTAGTTTGGTATTTATTGTAAAATTGCCGGCTTCACTCATAATTGTTGTTGTAATTGCGTACTAACTCAATTTCATGTCTCGCAGTTGTTGTTGCTTCCATTTGGAAATTGCGTTAAATTCGACCCAGGACTTATCGGGCCACCAAAGGACCTCGCACCACTGCAATGCAAAATTAATAAATGTTCATGTGACGATGGCAAATTGTGTTTTTGGTCTATGATTTTCATTTTGGCTTTGTTGTTTAATTTGCCCGAAAGACTCAAGTCGCAATCAAATTGAATTCCTTGTGGCCGTAAATAAATTATGTTATTTGTTTTCGCAGCACACACACATATTTTTTTGCTGGTCTATCTATTCAGGATGAAGTTGAAATTTTGCAGAGCAGAGTCAACATTAGTATTAGTGTCAGTGTTTTTACGAATACTTCAACACATCTTGTGGGATTTTTCATTTTCGAACTAGTTTTCCCCCAAAGACAACCTAAATTTGTTTCGCCTGAGCGCCTTAATTTTAACAATTTCAAATTTTTTGTGGATTCAATTTTGGCCAAGGGAATCCAACCCGTTTGAAAAAAATTATCCGTTTAATCCAAATTTAGGGGAACCAGACAGATAAGCGAGATGCCAATCTTTGCCAGGAACCTGCCCTCTATTCGCCACATGGCCAAGCGCAGTCTGATTGAAGGCCGGCGCTCACTGACCGCCATTTCGGGCCTGGAGAAGGGCCAAAATAGCGCTGGCCAGGTCCTGGCTCCCTGGAACAAGGATTGGCCGACGAGGGAAGAGGGCTTTGCGGTCGCGCAGCTCCTTCGGCAGAGGCAGCAGAAGCGCCAGTGGAGCAACAACTACTCCGGCCTGGACTCTGCCATGTTCCGACCCGTAACCAAGCCGGATGACCTCGCGAACCGCCGAAACAATGTGGTGGTCGCCCAGAATGCGGCCAGGAGGCGGAAGGTCAAGTCCACGAAAGTGCCCAACTACGACGACTCGGAAGCCTACAGGGCGCAGCAGGAATGGGAAGCCCAGCAGCAGGAGCAGATGCAGGAACAGATGCAGGAGCAGCAGAAGGAACCGGAAGCCAAAGACGGGGACCACGACTACGAGTCGGACCTCGAGGTCCGCTCCGTTCGGGAGGCGGTCTTCGGCCAGCCGGAGGACAACACGGAGGAGGACGAGGACCGAGCCCGGGCCGACCAGGAGCTTCTCCAAAGGGTCGCCCTCGCCTCCTCCAAGCAGCAGGAACGTCCGCTCAGTGCGTCCATCTCGCGGAAGGTCATATCGCCATACAACTCCTACCGCAGCCATCGCACCCGCTGGGCGGAGTTCCGGCACAGCATGATCTACGGCCGCACGAGCTTCTAGGCATGCAAGATCTTAACATGGCGAAATCCACCCTGGGGCATTGATGTCTTTTTACGGAAAACTTAAATTCTCGTTTCCATCGCATATTTTAAGAAAGCACAAATAAAGTTAGTCTTCAAAATTATTCCATGTGGCATCTATATTTATTTGGTTAAATACAATTTAATATTTTTTCCCCTTGCAGAAGTTTGCAACGCAATGAAGGAGACGTTTCCGACCCCATAAATTATATGTAATCTTCATCAGTGTCAGCAACTGAACCGATCTAGTCATGTGTGTCTCTTCGTTTTTTCGCGAACTAGTATCAGCATTAAAGATTTTGCGATGAAACTTTCCCAAGTCTTGTTTCTATTGCAGACAACTATATCCTGTAGATCCCATAAAAAGGATCGGAAAAATAATGGAAATAAAGCTGCAAGGGTATATAATCTTCGGCTTGCCGAAGTTAGATTCCTTTCTCGTTAATAATTATTATCCTTTGTATGGTTCCAGATTACAGAGTGTACTAAAAGTTCACAGAAACAGACCGTTTTTAATGAAAAAGCACTTTCTTAAATTAGGAAAAATCTCTCATAAAAATGGATTAATGACATTGTAGACCAAAGTGTCTTACACTAAAAAAGTTTGATCTTGATTTAAGAACATTTTTTCATAACTTCTTGATTTATTTTTTTTAACTTATTTAATCTAATTTAATCTAATACACTGACAAAACAAATGTATACTACAATTTTATGATGATCCTGTCATTATTAAGTCTCTGCATAAATGGTCTCAGAAAATTGTTCCAAGAGTGCTTGTTTTTTGGGCCAGGAACCCCTTTCTAAGTATCCCGTTTAGAACGTGTGTACTTATTTTAAAAAACAACATTTAAGAACATAACGTTCTGAAATTAAGAACACTGTTTTTATATATAAATTGTAGTATATTCAACCAAGTTGAGTATCGAAGATGTTTTAAAACCTAGTAACCTTTTCTTCATACATCCCACTCATAATTTGGGATGCAGAATCGGTTTTAAAAAATTCAAATTATCATCCTTTTAGACAATGATCAAAATTTTCAAAAACCTCCGAGGCAAAGGCCGTTGTCTCGTCCGGGAATTTCAGACGCGACCAAAAATCTACCAGGAGCCCGGCGTCTTCGTACATCCGGAGCTTCGTCGCAGCATTCCCCTTGTTTACTTCCGCAGAGGTGACTTGCCGCAGAAACTGGATCTTAAATTGCATTCCAGCCGAAACTGTGAAATATCCCCTTTGGAAAGAAATAAACGGTGCAAGGAGTACTTCCGCCAGTTTTGCAGAAAACAGCACAGCTGCTTTTCCCGAACTTACCATTGGTCCGAGTTCCGGCGAAAGATGATCTACGGCACTTACTAGCAAGGACATACCTCCAAAACTGGGATCTACTGACCTTCCACTTTAAAGTCCAATTACTTCAGATTTTCGTGACCGCTTTGTGGCTTAAAAAGTATTTTGTTCTGATCCGGTTTTAAAAACCAAATCATAACAAATTACTTTTTAAGCAACAAAGCATTAAATACTATAAAGTGCATCGTTAAGCTTAAAAATAAAAATAATATTCAGGAGATTTCTTCTAAAATTGTAGGGGATATTCAGGGAAACCAGACAGATAAGAGAGTTGCCAATTTTCGCCAGGAACCTGCCTTCGATTCGCCACCTGCCAAGAGCATTCTAATTGATGTCTAAATGAAAAGCAATTGCGGAAAAGTTTTGCATAAAACCATTAATACATTTTTAAATTTTAAACAGTTTATAAAATAACTTTATTAAATAAATAAATTTTTTAACTAGTCCGAAATACTCTGAAGATAGCCCTGTGTTCACAATTCCCCTTCTCTCAGTCCAGTTTATTATTATCACAAGTATTCTTAACCCTTTTTGCTACTTAACACGCAAGTTTGCTCTCAAAAACTAGCGACATACTTTGGCATACCTTCGCATCCTTCTGATCTGAGGAAATACAAACAAGGACTGGGAAAAAAGTGGCAAAAGAAAAGAATGGAAAGAGGAACCCAAGTGCACTCAAGTAATATGCTTCATAATTTTTATTGTCAAGCCCTTTTCTTTTGGCTCGGGTGGCACTGGCGCGCACTCGACAACAAAAGCTCAAAAGCGCTTGGAAAAAATGTGAAAATAAAAAATGACTATAAAAAGCAAAGGCAGAAAATGAAGTGCACTGGGTGGTGGTGGCAGAGACAAGAGTGCAACAAAGCAGAGCGGGCAGCATAAATTTTATAATATAGAAAAAATCAATGGGCAGCGGGGGCTAAAAAAATGCAGAGCACCAAGGATTACAGTCCGGGACTAGACTGCCGAGGTTCCAGCCACTTTTCATTCAAAGCACTGTCCTACTAGCCGGCACTCGGAAAAAAGACAACCCAATTCATAATAAAGAATATTTCTAAAAATATATTTTGGGTAGTAGTACTTTTATTTATGACAGTTTATTATATTATATATACGTTTACTCAGCACTTATGTTTTTATTATTAATCAAAAATTTGTTAAAAAAAAAACAGTTTTTTTGTTCGGTGTTTCCCTTTTTGAATCCTGCTCCTCACTTCCAAGTTTCACAATTAACTGGCCCCGCAAATGCTGTGATTTCGCCACTCGCTCTCATTGTTGCCAGTTAATTTTGATGTATTTTTTATTGCCTTGTTGCAAATTTGCATTTCGCTCTTCCATCCACTGCACTTGGCAGCGTAATTAGGCGCACAACTCTTTTTACGGCTTTGATGTGCCGCCCTGCGAATTGGGCTAAGTAAGGACAAGTGCCAAAAGGCTTTTAATTGTTTAATTATGTTTTGCGCTTTAGTCTCGAGTGCATGCAACACAACAATTCGTAAAGGGAGAATGATTTGAAGAAAAAAGTAATCCTAAAAGGATACATTATCATATTTAACCCTATCACAATACACAGTATACATTGTTAAGTGTTACCAACATTTATATATGTTAATTTGACCAATGCATTTGTTACTTTTTAAAGAACAAAATACGCACATCATGTAAACGTTACAATTTGTAAGTGGTTCTTTTATTTTAAGTATCTGTTTATTAAGAAACATTAGATATTTTAATAGATACAATTATAAAACGCATAGAACCATTTTCTCGTCTGCATGTCAAACTAATATTATGTAAAACTATACTTTTAGTTTAACATGCGAATGACAAAACGGCCCTTAAGATGTGAAACAACTTTTTAACTCAGCAACTTCTCCCACTAAATTCATATTCATTCGGTTCACATTTTCTACGTTCCCTCCATTAACAGACATCAAATATAATAGAAAGGCAATAAATTCATTTTCCTTCCTTTCGGCCAAACTCTTCCAAGCCATCACCGCATACAGCCATCCAACAGTTGGCCCACCAAAATCGGTATCCGGACTACCAAATTATAATCAAATCCGAACGAATTTCAAGATCTTTCAAAATGCTGCCGACCAACCAGAACCTCGTGGTCCTATCCCCCTTCGTTCGACTGGCTGTCCGCCAAGCCGCGTTCCGCATCACTGGAAGATTCGCCTATTCGACACGCCGCAACCCGGGCGCGGGGGATCGGGATCTCAATCTCAACAAGAACGATGAGTACCTGGGCCGTCAGCGCGACGAACCGAACCCGGAGTACCACCACGCTCCCCGATGCTACGTGAAGAATTTCCAGAAGTACCAGGAACAAGTGCAGGACCGCGGCGAGGTGCAGACGATCCGCTTCCGTAATCCCCGCTACCGCTGGGCGGACTTCCGGCGACGAATGGTTTATGGGACCTACGACATCTAGACCGTTTTTCTTGATGCTCTCTATGAAGTGCAACCTGCGTCGAAAGCTCTCTCAAATTAGGATGCCGTACGCTTCAATCCAGACCTGTCCTGTTTAGATACAACCCACCAAATTTATCAAATAATCAAGCATCCAAGAGCCTTGTCAAGTACTTGCCCAATTAACACAACGCACAGTATCCCGACTTATTCGAACTGAATTGCGGATCGATCTCGATCGTCCGTTGAAATTTCAATATTATTCACCATACAATTTAATAAATCTGTTACCTTTCACCTAAATCAGACTATTCATTTTTTGTAATATAAAAGAGTCTGTTGGTACTTTCATATTATGGATTCGTTTTTAAAAGTAGTTCCTCCCAGGGACCGTAATCATTAGTTTTATACAAAAAAATCGAACTATAATTTTTATTATGGATAATAATTTATTATGCTCAAAAATTGCGTTATTGATGAGTAGAAAAAACCATCTGTAACAATTATTCGTGAGTTTTATAAGTTTGAGTTTGAGTTTTTTTGTAAAAAAAAAAATTTACAATTTAACTGAAAGTTTTAATTATCACCATGTTACTTTGCCATCATAATTTTACCCAAGAAGATATAAAATTCAATCCACGAATTCTTTCAGTTTAAATTGGTATTGAAAAATGACTTAAGATATCGCAAAAAAAAATTTTTTACACAAAAAAGTTCTAAGTAAATGTCTTAGTTATATATATATAAACAACATTTACTAACAAACAAGAACCAATTTGAATCATATTGAAATTCCTTATACAATGGCCGCAATCGCGTATTAAGTTTTATTTTGAGTTTTATAAAATAAAACTTTAAAAAATCGTATTAATCAAAAATCTTGTTATTGCCTGACTTTTAAATAAAACTTAACAAATAATTTTTTCAACTAACTTACCTCTTAACGAGGTAAAAAGTAGTGGCGAACGCGCCCTTAACAAAAATTTCTGATATCAACAATTGTGACGAAAAATGATATTACATTCGATAAAATAAATGAACTGTATTAAATTTATGATTTCGGCCCACAACAGTAAATATTTACTTACCTACACGTAAATTTTCTGCTGTAGCGTGCCGAATACCTATTTTAATAGCACAAGTTGGGAATCTCAAGGGTTGTATAGTTTCAGATTCCAAGAGAAATCTGTCGTTTCTTACATTTCCCGCTGAACTATATAGATCAAGTTTCCTATTTCGATTAGCTTCATGCAAGTAAAGGACCCTAAAACCATAACAGATTTTCCTTTTGAAAAAATCTAATAAGAATATTTTTCAAAATTGGTTTTTTCTTGTTTATTTCAATAAGTATGAAATATTACGTATACGGAGCTGAAGCCAGTTGCACTTTTTATCGCTTAATATCTTCCAAAAGGTAATTTTTAGAATAAAAAGTGTCATTCATCAAAAGTTGAGGAATCTCAAGGGCTACATGATATATAATTTAAAAAGAAATCGTTCGACTCAATTTTGAGAAAATAGTCAAAAAGTGGTTTTAAAAAATAACTTTTTATCATAACACTAAATCTATTATATTCATACAATTTTACAATATGAAGAGTATTTAGTAAATTAAATTATCTATTCAGAGATATATAGCACGTCTCTGTAGCATTAGTTGTTTAGCTACTATAAGCATTTTAAATCTGGGTTTTTTTTTTTTGATTTTCCGCTAAACTAGCGGGTTTTTCCAAAAGTCGTAGAACAAACGTTTCCTATTTCAAGCTACTTTATACACCCATAGGGTTTCCAAAACCCTAAAACTAAGATGGGATGCATACAAACCCACAAACAAAGGGACAAACATTTTTATTTTGGGAAGAAGAAAATCTTGTTTTTTTAATTATTTTTGAACGGAACATCGTATTTCAACAAATGAGGTGTCATTCGACGCGTATTCTCAGTAAAAATAAAACTGGCTAAACAGACGGGGGCTTTTATCCCCACCTTATCCAGCAGCTCCAATTTTCTAAATATTTACTTTTACACTTTCACCGCTTTTTCTCCCAAACAAATTTATATTTCGAAAGTCTTGCAATCTTCTTAGTTATTGCGATACCTTTCGATTGGTGTATTACTCGTTACGATCGGACCATAATGGCAGATTTTCAATTCTGCGTCTATATATAGTAGTTGTCTTCGCACGCTCTCTTGCGCGCTTCGCCACTACGTGTACTGTACTGTAAAACTCACAAAGTAAATATTATGGTGGATTTGCATACACTGACCATTTCAAAGTGAATGATTTTTTAATCAGGAAACCCGGAATGATTTTTTTCGGTGCCTGGTTCATTCTATTTGGATAACCTCAGGCCTAAGATAATAAATACCAGCATGAAATATCTAATCAAGAAATCATCCAGCGGATTGCGTTATCATATCATATCCCTTATCATGTTTTATCCCTTAGTAGAAAATAATGCAAGCTCATAGATACATATAAACATCATATACAAAAAGTTTACACAATTTAAAAGATACATTTATTATAAAAAAAACTAATAAAAACATCCTTTTCCAATGAACTTGATTACCCACACTCACGGCTCCGGTGCCGAGTCCGGGGATAGCGGATTTTTAACCATCATCTCCGCAAAGCTGTCCGTTTCCGGAAAGCGACGATGCGGCAATTGAAGGATATTGATGAAGAGAGTGCGGTGTGGCTGGAAACTTAGCTCCTCCGTAACTCGCGAGATATCCTTCCCGTAGTCGGCGTCCATGTGGCGCAAGTTCAGGAAGCTCTTGACCAGCAGAAAGGGCGGTCTCTTCAGATCGGTCCAAGAGTCCTTCCGCTCCTGAAGCTTCACGGGCACTGGCCTGCGATGGTAGGGTAGCCTTTGCTCCGACATTCTCCGCTGCTGGTGTAACCGCGTATCCGCCTTGAAGATCGGGAATCCGATCAGGGCCCGACCTGGGAACATTATGCGATAGGTGGTTACGTTACCGGTGCTCAAAGAATACTTTTAAAATTTAGGTTAACCAATGTAAGTAAAACAAGCTTTTCATAATGTGTTCGTTCAGAGAATGTATTCGACGAGCCTGCTACTATTTAAATGAGTTTTTTCAGCCAAAAATAACTTTTTCTGCACCACCTTTTTAGTCAGAAGTATATTCATTTCAATATTTAATTAGACGGTAAATTTCGAACATCATTTAAATGGATTAAAAAGCTCATTTAATTATGTAATAATATTTTGTGCCCATTCATCTTCTTTTTCGCTTGAGCATTTTACAATGATATTTATACCCGTTACTCGTAGAGTAAAAGGGTATACTAGATTCGTCGGAAAGTATGTAACAGGCAGAAGGAAGCGTTTCCGACCCCATAAAGTATATATATTCTTGATCAGGATCACTAGCCGAGTCGATCTAGCCATGTCCGTCTGTCCGTCTGTCCGTCTGTCCGTCTGTCCGTCTGTCCGTCTGACCGTCTGTCCGTCTGTCCGGATGAACGCTGAGATCTCGGAAACTATGGGAGCTAGGCTATTGAGATTTGGCGTGCAGATTCCTGAGCTTCCTACGCAGCGCAAGTTTGTTTCAGTAGACTGCCACGCCCACTCTAACGCCCACAAACCGCCCAAAACTGTGGCTCCTACAGTTTTGATGCTAGATAGAAAATTTTAACTGAAATGTATTGTTCTTATCAATACCTATCGATTGACCCAAAAAAAAGTTTGCCACGCCCACTTAAACGCCCACAAACCGCGAAAACCTGTGACGCCCACAATTTGCATGCTAGATAAAAAATTTTAACTGAAATGTGTTGGTGTCGTCAATACCTATCGATTGATCCAAAAATAAATTTGCCACGCCCACTCCAACGCCCATAACGCTTAAATCTGTCTACCGCCGGTAGGTGGCGCATTTTAATCTCGCTTTGCTGCTTGCATATCTCCATTTCCCTTTGAGTAACGGGTATCTGATAGTCGAGGTACTCGACTATAGCGTTCTTCCTTGTTTTTTAATGCGTATAAATAATAAAATTCTGTTACTCAAGTGATACTATACATGCATGTTAAGCAATTGCAAGGGATACATGCTTCAAAAATTAGCAATAATTATCCTTTTAGCTAAACATTTTCTGTTAAAAAAATCGTTAGTTACACTAGCCTACAAAATAATTTTTTGAAAATACTCAAAGGTGGATGATGGTACACTCACTGAGCAAAACGGTCCAAATGCTAATTTTTATAAAAAAATGTCTTACGTTTCAAAAATTGAAGAATCTCAAAAGCTAAATAATTTGTAATTAAAAAAAAATTTGCCGACAAAAAAGTGTCAAAGTGACAAAACAAAATGTAACTATAGTTTTTTAGCGACTATACTATAAACAAAAAACCATGTCGATCTAGTCCGTTTGTACGTCCTTCCGTATGAACGCTAAGATCTTGAGAACTAAGAGCTATTGGGTGGGCAAGAAAGTCATGTCGTTTTTTTTAGTAATCGTTTTTAATCTAATTTATTTACGACTAATCGAGCACCAGGGTCACACTTTTTAGTATCGTTTTAAAGCTTATTGTCTTAGGTACTATCGACGAAAATTTGGTAATTATTCGATAACATTTGTGGAAGCTATAGCAAATTAAACATGGAGGACCAAAGTGAGCATTTTCGGCATATTTTGCTTTTTTACTTCCGAAAAGGAAAAAAAGCGGTCGAAGCTCGCGAAAAATTCTGCGAAGTGTATGGTAAAGATGCCATGAGTGATCGCCAATGTCAGCGCTGGTTTGCCAAATTCAGGCTTGGAGATTTTGGAGTTAAAGACGCCCCACGTTCTGGTCGACCATCGGCCGTTTTTGACGAACAAATTCAGGCTTTGCTGGATGAAAACCGGCGCTATTCAACGCGGGAGATGTCAGAGAAGCTCAGTGTGTCGCATACAACGGTTGAAAACCATTTGAAGAAACTTGGCTACGTAAGCAAGCTCGATGTTTGGGTTCCGCATAACTTAAAGGAAATTCACCTAACTAAGCGTATCAACATCTGCTATTCTCTGCTGCAACGGATTAAAAACGATCCTTTTTTGAAGCGGATCATTACTGGCGACGAAAAGTGGGTTGTTTACAATAATGTCCAACGAAAAAGATCATGGAGCAAGAAAGATGAGCCAGCCCAAGCCACATCAAAGGCCGATATCCATCAGAGGAAAGTTATGCTGTCTGTTTGGTGGAATTGGAAGGGTGTAGTGCACTTTGAGCTGCTGGGACGGAATGAAACCATCAATTCAGATGTGTACTGTCGCCAGCTATCCAATTTGGCGGAAAAAATTAAAGAAAAGGAGCCGGCACTAGCTAATCGCAAGGGTATAGTCTTTCACCATGACAACGCTAGGCCCCACACATCTTTGGTCACTCGGCAAAAATTAACGGAGCTGAATTGGGAAGTGCTACCACATCCACCTTATAGTCCGGACTTAGCACCTTCAGATTACCATTTGTTTCGCTCTCTTCAAAACTCTTTGAATGGTAAAAACTTTGATTCAGATGAGGCTGTCGAAAACCACTTGTCTCGATTCTTTGCTGGAAAAGACCAAAAGTTCTTCGAGCGCGGAATTATGCAGCTGCCCGAGAGATGGTCATTAGTGGTCGAACAAAACGGCCAATACATAATTGATTAATTATAAGTCCTGATATAAATAAATCATCTTTGAAAATATTGAAAAAAAACGACATGACTTTCTTGCCAACCCAATAGAATGTTGGGACTAAGCATGTAGATTCTAAGGCTCCTAAGCAGCGCAAGTTGGTTTCAGCAGGGTGTCCACTCTAACGCCCACTAACGCCCATAACGCTGTTTTCTAGTCTCCGTACCCTTGGAAGAAAAAACAATCTCGCTATATAGTATCAGTCTCCATTACTTAATTTACAAAAATGTACATAATAAATTTATTTGCTCGCATTAAATTTATATTTCAGTAAAGGCGACAGTCTAGACTTGTGTATCAGCTCTTTACATTTTTCCAGTTTGACATAAAGAAGTCTCTAAGATCACGAGGAGCATCCTGCATGTAGGCCGAGTCCAGTTGGTGTAGGGCCAGGAAGCTCTTGACCAGGATGCGCGGTGGTCGGGAAGACTGCGCTGGGGTGTTCAGCCTCGCATCTGGGACCACAGGGAATGGTCGTCGCGTTCTCCTCTGATGCAAACTCCGGCTCCGGGGAACACCCGTAAGTACTAAGCCCCCGAGAGCTCGACCCAAAGTCATTCTGGCTCAGGATTAGAGGTTCAAAAATACTTTCACTAAGATTTCAAATTTTATCAAAGCCGAAAAATTAACTGGTGTTTATGATATTGTTTAAAATGCCTACTATGTATTTTTTAAGATCTGTATACTTGCATAAAGACTAACAAGCTGTTGGAACTTTTAAACTTTACTTCGAGTAATTTTTTATGTAACTTTACCATTTCTCTCTTGTTGGCATTCAGCAAACATCCTGAATATTCTGATATGTGGCTTAGTAAAGCTAATTTATTTTATTTTCGGGTTTGAATCTAAAAATAAACTGGTTTCCCATGTAAATGGATTTAATTGGCCCAGTCGTGTGTACGGAGGCTACGTGCTAAAAAAACCTGCGATATGTACTAATTTTTGACCACAAACCGAATTTACTTTTGAGGGTTAGCAAAATAATTGGAAAGCGATTCCGAAAAACATTTCCTCTTAGAATTCTATATCATTTTATATGGAACAGTTTTAGTTAGTACTAACGACTGGTTTGGTTCGGAAAGCATCGGGCACCATCGATAGTTTTTTCTATCGCAGTGGTCACTATCGATAGTATCGATGCTATCGAAAGTCGTAGAAAATAAAAGACAAATACTTTTTTATTTCACAAACTTTCGATAAAACATCGATATAATCAATAATGCTGTCGATCGTTTAACAACCCTAGCAGTTGCTACACAAACGAAATGAAAGTTCATCATTTTCCTTGAATTTGTATGGTCGAAATAGTTTAGTGGAACAGCTTGGAGTTGCATATGGGTCGGCCATTTTGTATTTTCATTGCTGGCGCTTTTGAGCGACGACGATTTGGCGGCTTTTGTGCAACGCGTGGTTTTATGTAACAGGCCCCAATCCCTAGTCCGCGAAAATCCTTCTCCCACACACCCGCAAAACGTCAATTGCATGAGCCGGCACGTCGATATTTTTGCCAATTTTTTAGCCGACCCCTCGCAAATTGCTTTTTGAGCTTGTTAGAGTTTTTTGGCCCTCATCCTGCCACACAGATACACACCCGCACAAGCACACACGCTAATGAATAGTCAAAGTCCAGGCGATTTCAGCAGTTGTAGCTGCGCAAAACGAAAACTAAACGCAATGTTTAGGCTGCATTACGACTGCAACGGCTCCTGTTGCAGCCGCAGCAGGTCCTGCAGGAGCAGTCAGGAAACGGCATCCAGCGGCCAGGACAGCGCCGCCATTTTGTAATCAAATGCAGCACAAAAGTATGCAAAGGAAATTGCCAGAAAAAAAGCAAGGAGTAAAAAGCGTTGTGCGCATTGGCTTTCTTCGTACAGTGAAGAATCGCAGGATAGTTCAAGGGGATTTAATTTTCTATTTTTATTATTCTAAGGGGATTTCCTCGTTTTTAAAGTACTGGTTTCTAAACCCTTTTAAGTTTTCAAGAAAACAATCGTAAAGATAACAAAATTAAAATTAAAACAGATTTTCCGTATAATAAACTATAGTACATAATAAAATAGTGCTTTATTGTGGATACCTTTCAAATACCTTTTAAGTGTCATTCTAGGTTTTTAAAGTACGCAGTGAATAAAGGATTTTCGACTTTCCGAATGAATTCATTGTACATCTTAGCTTTAAGTATATTGTTGCATACTTTCAGACCCCTAAAATTATACTTAAGAGTCATTTAAAAATCCTAGTGATAAATGTGGTCCATTTTTTGTTGTGGGATAACAATCTCTAAGACTTTCTGTAGTTTCAAATTCGTAAGGATTTTATTATCCATCTTTTTTTCGTAATGACGAGTTCTAACTATGGCATCCGCTCCGGAGTAATCAAAGTTATTACATTTTTACTGTAGCATCTCTAAACCCAGTCCCTCGACGGCCCTTTAGCGACGACTGCTGTTAGTGGCTGCTGCTTTTCAATTAGTGCCACCAGAGCACGGCAACCACCCCCTCCACGCACCACCGCCCATTTCTATGCGGAGCCGCCAATCCCAGCCAACACTTGATGCCACCGACTGCAGTTGACGTTGGTTTGCTCTGCTCTGGCCGCGTTTTACGTAAATTGAACAACAGGCTTGCAAGGCACCGGGTACGGTGCCCAAAACAGCAAAACTGCAAAACAAACACACGCCAACACGGCCAATACATTGCAACAACTTGGAAATGCAGGCGAGCTTAGCTAGACAGATATGTATATCTACACAAAACTCGACGAGGGTGGAGCATTGAAAAAGTGCAACGCCAGTGCCAGTTAGACAAAAAACAGGTCCAGGTCCTCCAGAAAAGCGAATAAAAAGATGCACCCGCCAGACGAGATCCGTATTGCCTTTAAGCCTAAAAGCGAGCTTCATCTGTTATGCGAAACGTTTAATTATTTATTTGAAAGGAAGATTCCGGCTGGCTGCAAAAACAAAGCAGCTGAAAAGAATTTTATTGACAGGCCCTCCGGCTGAGTGAAGGGTTATGGGTTGCAGGCACTCGCAATCGCAATCGCCCCTGAGGTTAATTAGTTGACATTTGCGCTTAATTGCAGTGCCTCAGGCGGAGGACATAGAGCTCCAGCCAGGCGTTCCCATTCGCATGCATGATTGACAGTCGAGTGGAGGGGACTCCACCTGCCGGTGCTGATATATTGATGCCAACGCGTTCAGGCGAAGCGACAAACTTGACACCCACTTACGAGTGCTAAGTGGCTCGACAGGCCGAAACTGAAGGTGGGAGGAATATCTATATCACGCAAACATACGAAAACGTAGTGTGCTCAAGCCAAGTTAAGTTCGTTCTTAAAATATGATTTTCTCAAAATAAAAACAAAACCTCTAAATTTCAGTTGGTTTTAAGCTCAAAGATGGATTAATTTAAGATGTTTTTGAAGAAATCGCTGAAATCGATGGCCTCGACTATCAGATACCCGTTACTCAGCTAAAGGGAGTGCCACAGGGATGGAAATAAACATGCAGCAAATCGGCCGTTTCCGAGATCGCACACCACATCAAAACGCCACCTTGCGTTCATTCTTATCGGCTTTTTTTGAGATTTCACTAACACATTCTTGTTTGGTGTGCGATCTCGGACACAGCCAGTTTTCTGCATGCATATCATCATCCCTCTCGCACTCCAAAAAGTTTGCCACGCCCTACTAAAGCTCATAATGCTTATATCATTACCATTCATTGGAAACGCGGATAGGTAACGCTTTACAATCTCGCTTTGCTGCTTGCATATCTCCACCTCCCTTTTGATCCCTTTGATCCCAGGTATCTGATAGTCGAGCGTACTTCCTTGTTTTTATTTGTGTATATATGCCGGTAAAGTTGTACAATTACCTACGTAATCATGATTTAAAATAAATCTTTAGCATTACATTTTAAATTGTGCTAAAATCACAATTTATTTAATTTATGAAAATAACTTTAAAGATCTCCTCACGAGATTTTATCTCTTACAATCCCCATGATTACCCATTAATCAAAAGCGTTTTTTCAATATCTTTACAAAACTTTCTTTGCCTTACTATGAGTTCATAAATCAGAGTAGTGGTTGGTCCTATATTCTGCCAGGACAATAGGCCACCTCGGGGCTTTTGCTCCGAATCCACTTGATGAAGGAGGCGACGCGAGTGTTGACCGATGGCTGCTGAGTGGCGCAGCCCTGGCCAAAACTGACGATGCCCACGGCCACCAGGCGTCCGTTGATCCGCTCGTAAAGCGCTCCGCCCGAATCGTACTGGCAGGTGTCCCGCCCGGGCGTGTAGGTGCAGAAGGTGTGCGGTGGTGGCGGTACCCCTCCGGCGGAAATCAAGGTCTGCCTGCACCGCTGGCCGTCGATCACATCCAACGTGGCCTTCAGCAGGCGGTGGGTCTGTGGGCCGCCGTAGGATGTCGTGCCCCACCCGGCGGCAACCACCTGGTGCCCCGCCAGCGGTAGCTTCCTGCCATCCTCCGCCTGTTGCAGCGGCAGACAGGCGGGACCCACATGCCGGCTCCACACGATCGCCGTTCGCGTCCTTAGCAGCGCGATATCATTCTTGGGATGTCCGTTCGCCTGGCTGAAGTCCTCGTGCAGGATCAGGGCGTCTAGGTCGTAGCGACGGGTGGCGAAAGTCTCGAAGGAGCTGGCCAAGTCATGCTCGCCCACCACCACTCGCAGCTTGGCAGCGCTGCTAGTCTCCGGGCCAAGAAAGCAGTGGGCAGCCGACAGCATGTAATGATGGTGAACTGTAGCAATAGTTGAAGGAAAGAGCATTAACACAACATCCAGAGTTACTCTTAATAAATTAATTTTGTAATGAATTGGTAATTTAATCGGGTTCCATTATTAATTAAAAAAGTTATGGTTAATAAATAATTACTTTCAAAAAAGTAAAGCCAACGAAAAATCCATTCAGTACTTTGAAAAAAATCAATGCTTATAGAATAGCAAAAAATTAAGCATTGTTCTATATTTTCAAAAAAATTACCAATTGAAAAACAATTCATTAGTTTTATTTTCAGTGCCAAAACTATTCATTACTTCTGGCAAAACTAATGCTTTATTTTAATTGGACGTAGCTTGGCGATACGAGTATTCCTAATTTAATTGGTATCACACACCACTTGTTTTGTTTGGTTAAGAATAAGACACGTTGTAATATATTGGGCCATCTTAAGAATTCTCTATTTTTCAATATTAACCTGTAAAACATTGGACTAACATTTAAAATGACATAAGCTTCAGCAGCCTCTACTGAAGAATTTTATAATTGTTTCAATAAATTGTTTAAATAAATTAAATTAAGATAGTTCCAATTTTAATTATGGCAACCTCATTTAATAAAATAAGTATAAAGGCATTTGAAGGAAATCAATGAAAGCAATTATTCATTACGGTTTCATTTTGTATATAGCTAGAAGGTTTGAAATTTAAAAAGTTGCCTTACATTTTACAAAATTCTTTTTAAATAAAACAATCTAACTAGGTGGCCCGTGTACTCACTGATCGCAGCGCCGCAGAAGACCTTTCCGTGCTTCTTGGTCAGGACACCGGCCATTGGCGGGAACTCGTGCAGGAAGGCCTCTTCGTTGGTGGGACTGGCTATTCGGGGAAGGCGGCTCCAGCCGCAACTGCACGTGGGCTGGAAGGCCTCTACCAGGCAGGTGAAGCGTCCTCCTCCGGGACCAGGTGACGGGGATGGGGCAAGCGGGTAGCTGGAAACAATCCGAGCACGTTTCACGGAAGTCTTTGAGCTGCTGCGAATTGGCAATGCCTCAAGGTAAATAGTAGTGCTAGACTTTCTGGACTCTTCGTCGTTGTAAAGTAGGGAGGCCACATAGGCCAGGGCATCACTGACGCCCACATCCTGCAACACGTGCAGCACCTCGTCGCTGAGGTCCTCATCGGCTTCCTCAGAGTTCTCCGAATCCTCCTGCTCTCCCTGGTCATCTTCCTCGTCCTGCTCCTCTATTGAAACACCTTGTGATGCCTCCGTAGTTGTACTCGTAGTAGTTCCCGCCGAGAGTTTATCCTTTAACTTGACTTTTGAGGGCGGCTCCGAATGTCCATTGGAAATGTACGAAATCACCGCACGATTGAGAAAACTTTTGCGCTCGAATTTTCCGCTGCCACAAAAGTATTCCGAACTTGTTAACACCTCGTCGCCCTCGGAATTGAAGTGAAACACCTCCGTGCGGCATTTAGAGTCCGTGGGAAACTGCGGAAAATAAAGCAATACATTTTCGAAGACGTCCCACAGTAACACCACTATCACCTTTGATACTTAAAAACTTGTTTTCAATAACGGAAAAATCAATTTCGTATATATTTTAATATTAACTAATCTTTTGTTATCGTTAAAGGAATTAATATTTTTGCTAATTGAAAGCAAATAATAATGGCAATATATTTATATTAACACACGCTGGCTCACCACTGTTATTGATTTCGTTCAAGCAATATTTTTCTAAAAACAAATGTGGAAGCTAACTACTGAGATCAGGCTAAACATAAGTTTAAGTAAAAACATATTTTCATCTGTTAAAGATGTACTAAATAAAATGAGTAAGATGACCTGGGCTGGAGATCACCTAAGAGTGATTCTCATCGGGAATATAAACAAATTCGGAAACGTCTTCGTCTTTATCGCGTTACAAACTTCTAACCGATATATTAATTTCTTTCCCAAACCCCATTTAAAATCCGACAAATGTAGAAACCGCACAACGGCGCAACACCGGCATAATAACCCGACTCAAAATTTGTTATTCCTTTTTTCGAATCATATTAAGTTATGCTGCCTGCTTTCAAATAAATTCGGGGCATCACTGTTTTATTTTCACTTTATTTCCTCACCGTCTGCAGTTGGAGTTCACACTTAAACTGCAGCACCTGATCCTTGGGAGCCTCCACGGCATAGCGACAGGAAGTGCCCACCGGATACAGGGCCGGGTAATAGGGCGAGTTTATGAGCAGTTTCTGGCCCGATTGCAGTTTCACTTGGTGGTTACACTGTTCGTAAAGGGCTGTCGTAGAGAACGCTTTTAAAAGAGGTAGGAACAGCAGCCAAATCCACATGGTCACGGTCGCGACGAGGTCTAACCCGGTACTGAACCAGATCCGCCGAAGAAAGCCTCTTAAGAATGATGAAGCCAACACCCGGACCAACACGCGATCTGCCTACATCTCTCAACACCTCTTTTGGCACCCACGCCCTGTTCCTGCCTTAAATGCGAGTTAATTAGGGTCTCGAAGAAATCCCAAATTGTTACCGCCGAAAAGAAAAGACAGCGGCCGGCACACGAGCGTCTTTGGCGGCTAATTTAAAGAAAGTGCAAGTGTGTCAATCAAAAACAGGTTTTCGAAATGTGGACCACTTTGAAGTCGGTAGGTGGACGTAACCATAAACAGAACTTCATCACCTGTTGGGGTAGGTCTTAGATGAATCAGTGCCTTGGGTAACAATTTCTTTTCAGTTGAATCAGAATCTCAGTTTCTAGGAATTTGTAATTTTCATTATTATAAGAAAAATATTAAAACATTTTAATAACACCCTAATTTAGCATTATTATGAGTTTTTTCGAACTCTAATAAATAAAAAAAGTTTAATAATAGGGAAGATCCGATCATTTTATATTGATTGATCCTTTCTACAGTACCTCGTTTTACAAAACTCCGTTTCCCATTCCGACTATCCCATTCTTAGTTGCTATTAACAAATTACTTTAAACATTTGCTTTTAATTTTTATAGTATTTGCTTAATTTTCAATTTCACCTTATGTCACCTGTGAGCCCCTCATACAGTCATTAATTCCAATTCCCCGAGACCTCTTTAAAGTCGACAATTTCGCACCCGCCAAGGCACCCGACCACTCCCAGCAGAACTCATTTTTTAGACCACTTTCAGAGCTGCTTAATTGGATGTGCTCCATATGAGCAAAAAGAGGAGAGCACACAAACTACAAGACCAGGAGAAGCGAAAAAAATGAAGCCGAAACCGGCAAGTTTGTCGCCCATTTTGTAAAATAAATATCAGAAAAAAGGGAGAAGACTTGGGAGGGACGATGGATGGCGCCGTGTCTGTCAGAGGCGCAGAGACAAACGCTTAATGCTAATATTATTTTCTTGCTTAACAAGCGATGAGCTACACGCGGGGCACATCGGCTGCTGGCCGGGATTTCCCCGGCAGTGCCACGGATTTTTCCAACCCCACTGGCCGCCTGCCTGTGACTTATTTGCACAAGCCATAAAAAATTTAACTTTATTTCGCCATTTTTAATTTCCTACTCCGCGGATCGCGACGTGGCGCAGAGCATTCGGCGTAAACAGTCAACGTTGGACAATAACTACAAAACCGGACCGGAGACCGACCACCAGAGGGTCCTAGCCGTCCAGGTCCCCTCCTTCTCCACCCAGAGGTCCGCGGAACAATGCTGGTGAAAAAAGCTGATGCTGTTTCCACTTCCTTTTTTCATTTTTAGCCCAAAGAGCGAGCGGGGAAAACAAACAGCAAATAATTCAAAGTGGATACAACTAAAGCAAAGTCAAAGCTAATATACGAAAATGTAATAAAAATTAAAAAGAAATAAAAACGAATTAAAATGAATTTCGAAGGAGCAGCAAAGACCTTCTGGCACAATAAAAAATATATAACAGGGGGATCGAGGACATAGAGGTGTGAGTTCCATGGGGGTCACCGCAAAAAGCGACAGTTGTAGGACTTCTTTTTGCGCAGTGGGATGATGACACATGTGAGTGGAGGTTGCAGCACCCTTGAAAGGGTCGTCCAGCGAGAGGGGAGGAGGACAAAAATATGTGACCATTTGAATTATGAAATTTATAGGAGTGTATACCAAGTCTACATTAATTACGTGAGAACCGAGATATGAGCAGGTGTTCCTAAAAATATAATAAACTAACGAATGTTTAGAGAATGTTGTTTTTAAACTTATTTTAATCTCAAGGAATCTGGAAAAAATCTTTCAGTATTTCTATAATACCCGTTTTAGCAACTATTTTAGTTTTGGGTCTTGTTATTTTGGTTTAAACTGCATCTTTTAGTAGAGGCCTTAGAATATTTATTAAATAAATATACCGTATCGAGAGTAGATGAAATTGAGTAAAAGATATATCAAAAATAATTTAAACACTCAAAAAAAATATAACCATACAAAATATTTCAGTGCCATTTTCTTAATCAAAGAGCCTACCCTTACCGAAAAAAGTAACTATGCTGTGTGGACCATTTTTTTATATATAAATATTATGTATAAATAATAATCAAAATTTTGGGCAAAGATAAATGGTTCTTTTCCGTTCTTGAGTCTTTAACAACTGTAAATATAATTGTAGTAATTTTAACTTTCATTTTAATTTATAATTATTTATTTGGATTATCGATTGATCAAATTTTAAGGTAACGAAGACTTTTTTATATGTATTTAAGCTTTTGCAAAGCGTTTAAACATACAATCGTATTCCTTTTAAGAAAAGGTATACATTTCCAAACGGACAACTAATTTTTTAAGACGACCCCAATTTTACGTTATCTTTTAATTCTATATGACCAAATATTTGAAATGAATAATTAAAAATTATTTATGGCTTGGATATGGAAAACATTTTATGAGCGCTGCTTAGCGGTGATTTGTAGGACTACTAAGGAAATAAGAAACACGACACACAGGTGGAGCTCAAATACCACTAATGAAACGTGTGTCATAAGCAAGTATTGTCGATAAAAACTAGGGGGCGCCAGCACGTCGTGCAAAAATATGTAAGATACTTGTAAGCAATTTAAGTACTAACTAGGTTGATGTCTTTGCTAACTGTTATAATTAAAGACTGGACCCGAACCATATATTTAAAAATTTCTTAGAAATTAAAGGAATCAAGCGTTGCCACTGAAATGTTAAGATGTATCAAAATCTAACAGCACTGTTAAGATGTATCAAAATCTAACAGAAATTTTAGAAAAAGCTTAACGTTTCTGTTAGAAAACAGGACCCAATCATAGGCAATTTGAAATAGTTAAGGACACCTAATTAATCGATACGCAAATAAGTTCTTCATCTAGTTCATCTAATTCTGGCTCCTTGCCCATCTTCCATTTCACCACTTCACTTCAAAACCAGTACATGGATGGATACAACTTTTTAAAAGTTATTTAAAAAAGGAAAAAAAGATCGATTGAGGTGGACTACGAGATTTTGACATGAAAATAGATAACATAATTTCCGAGCCTTCTGCAACCTGCATTAATTACTTTTATAACTAAGTGTTAATACTTTAATTAGTTTTATAAAAAATATAATTATAATTACAATAATATCATAAATAAAAATAATTATTTATCAATGTTCTTTTATATTCCAATATATACTCCTAAGGTTTTTTGTATCAGGGTGAAAAAACCAGAGAATACTTAACTGAGTCCAAAAAATAAAAATTACTTAAAAGATGTACATCTATTATATATTATATTTCTTAAATAAAAAAATTGTTTAGAATTTTGATATACAAACCGAAATTATTTTAGAAAGATTATCAGAATAATTGCAGAAAGCTCAAGAAATAACTTTTTGATTAAAGGAAAGTAATTTGTAGAAGTCCTTCCGCTTTCCCTGGTGTTAATCATGTCTGCCCTAGGCATACTTTCCATCCCTCATGATACATGTGAAGTACCAGCACATTGATATCCTTGACTCCTTTAATGATTACCTGGCATCCACCGCCACTTCCTCTTCCCAGGCGTTTTGCTTGACCAGCACAATTAATTAACAATAGATTGTTTTGGCCACAGGGTTCCAGTGACCCACAGGAAGTGCCGGGCCTGCACAATAGGAGCCAACAGGACGGCCATCCTTCCGGAAGGAAGAAATGAAACGAAGCGCAACAGTTGCATGAAGTGCGGGCACTTCAAATTAATAAAAGGAACTGCAAATAACAATGGTAATTAAATGGAAGAGGAAAGGTCAGTCAATGGAACGTCCTGCGGAGAGAGATGCGAGCAAGTGCATGTAGTCCAGGCTGCGTGGGGTCCTTTCCCACAGGTGTACGTCTGAGATTTCTCCAGAGTTTCCACTGACCACTGAGCCTTTGATCAGGACCGCTCGGTGCAAATCTAATTAACGCTCCCCAAGGATAACGATCGATCTTCGGGGCCAAGGATCTGTTTGCTTGCATTGCCATTCGATGCGCCAATGTGAGCTCAGACAAAGGACTCTCCATGCCCGAAGGACTACCTGCGAGTCCTTGAGAAACGCACTCCATAAGTGTGCGCGTATCAAATTACCATTTTATTTCATTTCATTAGTTCGTTTTCTCTCTTATTTTTTCATTATCCCTTTTCCCAGAGTCCTTAGCCTAATTGCTTGTACTGAAATGCAAATGAAATACGAACGATTTCAAGTCTTCCCTAGATTTATGGGACAGCAAACATGCTCCATTCCATCGCAAATGGATTCCATATGATAGATAGCTGACCACCCACTCAAGATATCGCACCCCGTCCATCGCCCTAATCCTGACTGATCTCTGGGCTAAATACCTGTTAACCTGTTTCGAGCACAAACAAGCAAAATGTTTCTCCCAGGCGAACAATGGAACCCTCTGCCCTGCCACAACAAACGAGATTTTCTCAGCACCTCCTTTGGCCGACGATCTTATCGATGATGCGAGGGTGGGCCCACATCAAATTGGTTCCCACAGGCAGTGGCCCATATTTTGCAATTTAGATTTCTATTTATTGTCTGGCCGGAGAATATCCTTTCTGCGTGCTGGCTGCCCTTATGCGCTCCTTTTCTTCCGCTCACCGGAAGGAAGTGCACGAAATTTGTGTGAAATGTCTCAAAACGACGGCCTGGGGCGTGCACAGGAAATTAGCAGAAATGGGAAACATTTGCTTGTGAAAACGAAATTATATTAGAATTTTTGTTTGAGTAGTTAAAGTGGGAAGAGAAATAGATTTAAATAAAGATGTAAAACAAACCGTACATCTTAAACTACTTTACCAAAAAAGGGAGGCCTTTAATTTTACAAGCCTTTGAGTCAGAAATTCACTTAACTTCTTAATTTTCTAGCATGTGACAGAGTAAACAAAATAATAATTATAAAATTTTTTTACTAATTTACTCAGAGTAAATTACTCGCATTTTAATTGTTAATATGATAAGATTGTAGGGCCAAAAACATCGAAAAATTAAACTCTAAGCCTTTTTTTTATTCAAAAATACTAGAAAAATACATCTATATAGCGTTTAAAAAAAATAAATTATTATTATTATTGATTTAAATTGTTATTTTTTATTTATTTTTTTGTTAGTATAAAGTTTTTTACAGTGAATTATGAAAATTATTTTGTTATTGACGTTATGCTTAGAAATCAAAAATATTTAGTCGCCTAAGTTCATGTTTATTTGAACAACAATAAAAACTTTTCCGGTCCAAGTGATGTTCCTTGAAAACCCCTTTAAGTAACTCCCTTACTCTTTCTGATCACTCACAATCTCACCGCCCACAATTTTCATAGTTTGAATAAAATTCACACCAAACAAAAGGAGCTGAGCGAATTCCCACCGCACAACACATACTCGAAGACTTTCCCAAGCCAGACACCTCCGACAAATTCCCATAGCAAACAAATTTGACTTTTGCATACCTGTGCAGCAGGGCCAGGACCTGAACCTGTTACCCCTATTGCCGAGCCCCTCCGTGCATTCGATTCTCACGGCCGGCAACGGTAACACTCCAACGCACACACAAAAGGACATCCAACCCTGTGAAACAGGTTGCCATGGGATCGAGAATGGGAACCCGAATGGGAACCAGAACGAGAACAGGACGATGACATGTCCTGAAGTAGGCGCTTCGTTTTCGTTTCGTTTTTATTGATTCAGCTCGTTGATCATAATAAACGATTAGTGTAGCACAGGAGAATCCTTGCTGATCCTTCAGAATTTTTGCGCTGAGAAATTCCTCAATTTTTTATTGTTTTGTTCTTGTTTTTGGGTTTACGGTTTGGGGATGAAATAGGGTCTGGGAAAATTAGTTTAGCGGGCTTGCCCTGGGATTTTTCGGCGAGATTTACAATTATCGACATTTTATTATTCTTCACTTATTTTGATAAGAAATTTGGTCAGCTTATCGGTAGATTTCTTGGATTGTTCCTGTCACTCAAATGAATTTTATTGGAAAAGTTTCAGCGAGTCTTTTTCCAAGAACTGTCCACAATAGTTGCAGGATTTTTCAGACAAGCTTGCATAACATTGCCGCATAACCGGAAAAAACCTTTTTAAAGATTCCCGGAACCACTTTTCTAACCCTAGACGCCGTTTTCACGAATATATAGACACAATTTTCTAAGCATAATAACAAATGAATTGACAAATACTTAAGGGGTCTTCGGGCTTCCTGGAAACATAATGTTGCTTAAAAAGCAAACAAAACATTCTTTCCGAATTCCGTAGAACTGCGATTGGCAAACGTTTTTTACGCAAATCTCGCTGAACTTTTTTTACGCAAAAGTAAAAAACTGCTAGGTGAATGCTAAAAAGGACCTTCATTTCCAGGAAGTCTGACATAGCCCTTCCATCCGCCGAAAGTCCCTATGTACAAGCCGCTAATCGCCGTGCTAATGGCTTGAGGATGCAGAAGGATATCCTTGCATTATCCTTGCCACCCGCCGTCTTTATTGTGACCAAAACAAATAATCACCCATTGCTCATATTGTCCAATGCTCAAACGGTCTTTACAAGCGGCCCATAAAGTTATCCTTTCTTGCATCCTTTTGAGTCGCAGTCCTTCCTCGCAAGCAGTTCTGCCGTCAACTTTGCGCATCGCATCCTTTCGAGCCTTACACGGAACTCCCTCTCTGGAAATTTGCCAAATCATAAAATGTAACCTTGTGTCGAGGACACTGCATCGAACATTATACACACGTTGTGGGAGTGGGAATGGGAGTGCACTATAAAGCCATTAGCGCTCCCATCAAGGTCGCAGGACTTGTTTACATTGACTTGGCCGACAATTTAGCCGTAAGTACTCAGAGACATTAATGAGGAAACCAAGAACTGGGACAGCTCAAGGCCTGTCTGGACGAGGAAACTGTAATTTTATTGAACTCTATAATTTAACTAATTATTTCAAGAGCATAAAACACGAAAACATAGATGACCAGGAATTATCACAATAAATGAACATTACAAGTTAAGGAACTGCCAATAGGTTGGGACCGCGGTTTATGAATGTCTTATCCTTCGGTCAAAAATGAGCAGAAAGCCGACCATTCTTAGTCAAGGATATAAGGTCCGCATGTTAATCATACAACAAATAGGTTATTTTTAAGAAAAATTATACTTTAAATTGCTATTTTTTTAACAATTATTACTTTTTCACGTTTGTGATTACATACGTTTTTTCATTTTTATTATTCAGTAAACTTCATTCGAGCCCGTGCAACTAATTTATTTACTTATTTATAAATAAATATTTATTATAGATTTATTTAGTCAGCTATAGGTGTGAAAATATTAACCTCAGAACAGAGCTTCTGGAAGTACATTTATATTAAAAGGAACTCTTTTAATTACTAATATGTAAAAAATCGTTGGCATCGTGTTGTTTTGATACAATTGGTCAAAAAAAGAACACATTTACGATAACTCTTTTCTGGTTCCAAAAGTAAGGATCAAGTATCAAGTATAGTTTTTAATACTTATAATCACTTTCCCTATCAATGAACGGTACTATTTTGACAACAGTTAAGCAACAAGATTTTATAGCATCACACAGTCTTGATAAATACCCTATTAATTAAATAATTACTTTAAATTCGTCTCGAGGTAATTCAGTTTTATTAATTTAGCTTAAAATATTCAGTTCTGTTGTTAAAATCCAAAATTAAGGAATTTTTCAAAATGCTCTAATTGATCACGGGTGATTTGAAAAGGCACTGGAAATCCCTTGGCCAATCTGGTTTGCCTCTTCATACGAGTTTATGCCAAACTATAAATGGGGATATTTTGCTGCCTGCTGTTTTCGAATAAATCCTAAAATTTACGACATTTAGCTCGCTTCACAGGAACCGTAATTTCTTTGGCAAACTTCTTTTGTTGGCACAGGCTGAGAGCCGGGCCTGTTTTCTCCCCTAGATCCCCTTTGCACACGCTTATGCCACATTCCCCCACCCAAGGACGAGTTCCTTTTGCGCCGCAGTCAGATCTAGAATCTGCTTCCCAAAAAGCCAGAGAATATCCAACAAAATGGCTGAAGCGTGGCCAGGAATACGGAAACAACGGAACTACAGAACTTTCACACGCGTTGCACACAACCAAGACTGTTTTTTCGGGGTGTCTTGAGGAAAATCTTTCGCTCAAGCAAAAACAACAGCTGCAAAAGCAAAGAAAACCCTTGGAACAGGGAAAGGTCGTTGCGCCTCAGCGACCCCTGGCAACCTCCTGCTCCTACCACGAACCCCCTTTTTCTGTGTTCGAACTTCGAACCAACCCCCTGATTGTACATTTCGCAAAAGATTTCTGGAAACAAAGCCGAAGTAACCAAGGGGTGGAGACTTTTAGCTGCGCATGCGCAGCAAACTTTTGCTCGTTTTTTAAGGAGATTTTCTGAAAGACGACGGGTTGGTCTATAACGTATGCATAAAAAGGTCTGCGCAGATATATTGGTTGGTCGATGTGATGTCGTCACACGACTTGGCGCACACCTGGTCACGAGTTGCCATGCGATCCGGCCGATCCCTTGCGTCTCTGACCTCAGGCAAACTGCCTTCGATTCGTTCTGGCTGAGCGATATGTTAAATTAATGGTTTATTTATGTAGAACGAAGTTTTCTAACAGAAACCCTAATTAGTTTTTACTTTTCGCCCAAAAACCGAAAAAACTATATTTCCCAATCATAATCGCTTTATGGTTCACCTACAAAAATCCCTCAAAGAAAAGGAGATTGTCAAAACACAGGCACAGCCAGAATCTGTCGAGGGCGTTACCTGATTTTCCCCGCTTTTCCTAGAAAACGCGTTATGGTTTTATAGGCACTTTTGCGCATTCACAACGAAAACTGCAAAATGTTGAGCCGAGCACCCCCCAAGGTGGCATGCATAATGTGTTTATGAGTGGCCAAGGATCCCGCTTTCCTCCTCCTCCTCCTTCTCTTCCGGGGAGTGTCCTTTGGCCAAATCGGAGACACTTGCTGTGGTCAGCGATGTTCGGTTTTCGACCAAAACCCCGGGCCCAGAAAACCCCGAACAGATAATTTGCTGGCAACCATGAAAATGGTTAGAGAACTTTGCTCTGCTGCTGTGTTCGCTGGAATTCCGAGGCTGAGACATTTCACGCCCAATATCCTCAGCAAGGATATGAGCTGAGCTCGGGTTTGAGTTGGGCTTTGAGTGGAGTGACACTCTTGAGTGAGTTTTATCAAGGGTTTTTCAGTTAGAGGAACTAGTTTTATGGATATCTGGGCAAAAGAATGAGTTTTGATCATAAATAAATAACTGCTAGACCACAGAAACCTATAAAGAAAATGAATTGCATGTAATTTAAGCTTGGTAAGCACTATGACTCGTAATGTTGTATTCAAATTTTCAATTATTTTTGTGATTTAAGACTTCAAGAAAAAACACTTAAATTAATATATATAACGCACTGTAATTCATAATAAAATAAATGCCACCGAAATGACCAACAAAAAAGCGCTATCCTTTAAATCTAGGCTGTAGAAATCCGAATTTCAAAACTGTGTACTTGCAAGTTAAAAGTCAGTACATGCATACTTCATACATTTGTATATTTTTTAACACTGATTTTTAAAATGTTTTGGTACAACGTAGACCTATTTGTGGTTAGTATTGCCAAGTACACCTGTCAAGTTACAAGTACATATATCTACATAAAAAAGTTATACTTAATAGGTCTACTTCAAAAAATATTATGTAACATGGAGCTCTAATAAGTATAGGAACTCATTATTGTAATTTAATTAAATTTCTTGGAATATGTTTTTCAATGAAATATAGGTGTGAGCTATGTGAAGACATAAAACCTACAGATTGTCAGTTTTAGTGACCCTTAATAAAATATCTTTGATTGAAACGAAAATCTCAAAAATTTTCAAAAACATAGTGACAGAATCTGACAGATTTGAGACCTAGCAGTGCGGCCCTTCCCACAGATTCAAGGGATCAGCTAAAAAAGAATCTCGGCTGCCACTTCAATTACAGTAGAATGTCCTGCAGGACTCGGTAAAAAAGGAAGAGCAGCTGCTGGAAGTAAAACTGAGTGGGGGAAACATTGGCGCGTGCCAGGAAAAGAACACCGGGCCTAGGCCTCAAAGTAACGTTCATTTCGGGATCACCGATAACAATTACTCAAACAGGACGACGGTGCGCTCAATGTGCAACTGCAACCCCGAAGAGAGAGAAAGAGAGCTCATTGCAGGGCTCAATGAGGATCCTGCCGGCGAAGAGGGGACCCTCCTTTGTGCGGGATCCTTTGCTCCTTTGCCGCGTGACCCAGTAAATTCGTAGGATGCACATTGTTGAGTCGGGAAATTAACGAAAGTAACGTATTTTCCTGCACCTCGACAGATGATAACTTCCTGGCACGTGTGCTGCGTTCTGAAAACTCTGAAACGCCCCTCACCTCTCATTTCCGCCTGTCTAATTCAGCTTAATTAAATCAATTTAATGTGGCTACACAAAACCATCATCTGCCCGATTCACAATAAGAATGATGATAATAATGCAGCAGACCCAACGTGTCACAATCGAGACCAGCACAACACAAATCTGTGGCAAGTGCTTCTTCCCCAGCACCGCTTGCATCATTCACCAGC